AATAAAGAATAGAAACAATTAAAATCAAAATAGAGATTGAAGATGAATTTAGGTCACTAAAACCAAGTCTGATAAAAGCAAACATTATCCAAATATAATATATATATAACACACACAGAGGTGCCCAACGTTACAATGGTTAACTACTCACAAAATAATAAAACACAGAACATCAATAAATTTTGGCCTCTCATTACACAGTGGGGTTTTTTTAACTGGACCAGTAACAGGTTCAATTTATTCCTTAAGAAACTGTAATTCAGAGTGACGGTTGAAGTACATTCGTTCCGAAGGCTCTATAGTATTAACGCTTCGGCGACACTCATCTTTCCGGAATACACCGCATAAGCGCAGTCTGCTGCATCCGTGTCCTATAGTGAGTCGTCGGTGTAAACAATGATTGAGCCCCATGGGTTGAGTGTTATGACTTTACTGATCTTCTGTAGTGTTGTTTGTCGTTGTACTATTGGTGGTCATCTTAGTGCCAGTGTAGTGTAGTGATGGCCCATGGTGTTAGCGTTCGCCCCTCATCTATCGGAGGAATATGGATGTTGAGATCTAAGAACATATCAGAGAAGGTCTGCACTAGAATTTTGTATCCCCTCTTGCCTCGTCCGGCCAATGGGGCGGGTTTCGCAGGGTATTAGAGATGGTCAGTGAAGGTGAAAGAGACGCAAGGGTTCCTTAAGCATTTGACTCCAATTGTGGTGACTAATATTTTCATTCTGTCTTGGATACTGGTTAAACTCAGCTCTTTACTCATGTTCACTATCCAGATTATCATTGGACAGCCTAGGATGAGTCGCATTGCTACATTCTGTAACTTTTCAAGAGGCGATAAGACGGTGGCTGATAGTGAGAACAGATGGAGGGCGTGATTGTCTATGAGTGACTGTATATAAGCAGTATAATAGAGGTTTTGGCTATGGGGACTGACACACTAGCACACCTGTTGAAAAAGGGTGCGACTTGTGTTACATAGAACATGAACGGAAGCGTAACCCATCTATTTGTTGTTGTTTTTCAGCCGACGCGACACCAACGAATCTCAACTTAACCTAAACTCCCCAAGGATTACATTGAGTTAATGTGGCGGGTTTCGAAACCTATAAAATTGTGCTAATTCCGTGATGGAGGGCGGGTTATAACTACAACACTGTTCGCGTTACATTGGCTGATTTACCCGAGTGTCCCTTTAATTTGTTAAAAGTTTACGTTTTCTGTAAGCAGTGGCGGCAAGCCGTGACGTCAATAGGACTGTTGTGGTATGTGGCGACGAACAGGGAGGGATATGATCTTTGCATCTACCACCGGAAGAAACGAATCCTGTTCGTAGCTTTCTGCCTTCTGCTATGACGCAGGGGCACTGCAGTTATGTATTGTACTCATTTCATATCCACCGTAAACCAGTGGTTCAGAAACTGATGTCTTGACGTTTGGTTGTAAGGTTAAGCTTGCAGGCATTCACGATATAATGTCCTTGAGACAGGCTAAAATAGCTGCTTAACGGGAAATTCATATTTTACGTTCTTCTGGTTTAGACAATGGGAGGTTGCAAAACGTTAATAATCTGTGTGCAGCTTATATTCATTTTGTTGTCATTTTCAATAGTGTATTCCTTGATAGAGGAAGAGGGATCCTAGTGCTGTCACTAGGTACCCCTGTACAATAACACCAGAAGCATCTGTCAAGTGTCACAAGTATATACAGTATAAATATTATAAAGGGAACTACTAAAGCCTAAGGAAGGAAGGATATTCCTTTAACACATTATCAATATTATTTACATAGTATCTGGCCAGCATAGGGAGGGGATCATCGTGTCTCCGTCAGGGGGTCGTGGAGTGGTGGTCCAGCAGGTGTTGTGTGTGGGGACATCTTAGGAGGTAGTGGATAAGGGTGCGGCTGTAGTTCTTGTTACGTTTTAACGCTTCCTGCTCCACCACAGGGTCCCCGGTTCGAGTCCAGTGTCAAGGTTTTAACACCAGACGTAAAAAAAACAGAGTTGTATTACTTGTATACAAAAGCTAAATATACCATCATGTGTAGGATTTTAAGCTCTTTTATTTTGTTAATAAGTGATCATCTCCCAAAATCAATCTTTAATGAGGACCACGAAAAGGCAAGAAAGGCCGCCATTATTTCACGATGAAGGCGAAACCTCATCTCTCCTCGGTTCAATTGGGAAATTTAGTATGTTGTTTAGGAATTTTACCAGGTATTATTTTAATGTATTATTTTTTTTCCTAATTTTCCTGGACGTAACAGTACCATGTTTTGAGAGTAAATTATGGCGTGTTTTAAATATGAGAATTCAGCTTAGTCAAGATTCCGCCAAAAAAGCAAGTGTAGAGGCAGTGTACCCCACGAAGGCTGAAATCAAACTGGAAGAATTACGGAATTCGGGGAAATGTCACACTGCGTGGATAGAAGACTTTCTACATGACCGCAAGCTTGGTGTGTGTCAGTGATTAATGGTACAAAATCGTCATCTGTACCTGTCACCAAGTGTAAGGGGTACCACAGGGCAGTGTGGGCCCGCTGTTGTTTGTTTGTTTCATAAATGACATGCCTGATGGTTGTACACTCCACTCCATACAAATGTTTGCCGATGACGCCAAGTTATTTCGGGAAATTAAGAACCAAGCGGACTGTGAAGAGCTGCAGAAGGTTACTCTGACTCAGGAATGGTCGAAGAAATGGCTGCTGAGATTCAATGTCACGAAGTGTAAGAGGATACACCTGGGGCGTACCAACGGTAAGGAGGCGTATCATATGTCCCAACGGGATGAAGAAATTGCGCTAGTTGAGACTGTATGTGAGAAGGACCTAGGTGTGTATGTTGACAATGAGCTGAAGTTCTCGGGCCATTGCGAAGAAGGTGAATCAGGCAAATAAATTATTGGGTCTTATAAGAAGGTCGTCCAGATATCTAGACGGTCCGTCCCTCGTGACGATCTTCAGGGGTGAAGAGTGCTTCCCCATCTGGGTACTGTCACTTATCTGGTCCCAAGAGATATGCTAGGGACTGTCAGTTGGTTGAAAATGTTCAAGGAGGGCCACCAAACTGGTGCCTGCACTTCGACACCTCAGCTACCCTGAGAGATTATGGGCCGCCTGAACTTGCCTAGCTTATACTACAGACGGGCAAGGGGACCTAGTTGAGGTGTAGAAGTATCTCAGGGGCACTACTCAGTTAGTGTCCTTACTTGGAGCTGGCGGACGCTCGCCCCACAAAGAGTCACAGCTCAAGATTGAAGAAGCCGCAAGTCCAGAAAACTGTGAGGAGCAAACTTTTTTCGGAGTGAGAGTTGTAAACTCTTGGAACAATGTACCAGAAGGTGTTGTGGCAGCACCGAGTGTGAGCTCTTTCAAGACAAGACTTGACCAATACTGGGCAGGTTCAGGTACATTCAGGAGCCGGTGCAGCGCCCAGTACTGCCAACAGTGCGTGACAGAGACGTGACCCGTCACCCGGGCTAACGAGCCAGCCGATCTTTTTGGTGAAAAAGACAAATGAAAAGGAGAAAGTAATCAGAGACGTGACCGATCGCCCAAGCGGCTAACAAGCCGATCCAGTGGCGAAGAGGATAAAGAAAGTAAAAAGTATACCCCAAGCTGTGACGGATATATATCAAGTGCCTGCCTGTGTGCCTTCACCTTAGCCAATCATCTTGACCTGTAGGTGTGACGTCAGGGCACAGCTAGGCTGATTAAGGTGAGGCCTGGGCAGTTCATTCTCAGCAACAAGTGCGCTCGATTCCAGGGTTTGTGTTTGAGGTTTTAAACGGCCTCCGAGCCGTAATCCATCTTTTTAAACCAAATTTTGTCGGGTTACCATTTGGTAGTCCGACAATATTATTGGAAAGTTCGGGATAAGTCCTCGGGTGTGGGTAGGCACCTGAAAGACTCAAACTAGTTATATATGAATAGAAAACGTCCCTGAAATACAATATATATAAATTAAGATGAGATAATAAAGAAAATAAATATTTAAATGTCCTGATAACCGGTTCCATTTGAAATGTGTATATTTTTAAGAGACCGCCGTGTACCCCCGTGACGTTGTATCTTCTACTCCGAATATTTTTCGTCTCCCCATCGACCTTCTCCAATTTTATCAAGCATTGCATTCCTACAATCATCCTCTTATAGCTTCAAAGTATGGTAAGTATCGCACTTTTGTTTGTGATAGATAGGTGTCATACAATTTCCAATTCACCAATATATTATATAGGGAAGATATAAGATGAGCCAAATGTACTAGGGTGGTTAGCTATTAGTCTACAACAAGTGTCATATGTGACTCACGCTGATAATTACCCTAGAAAAAATTTCTCCTGCTATATTTCACTGTTTGGGTTGTTGTTGTTCCGGTTGTGTTTAGGTACTACAATACAGTACCAATATTTGTAAGTTTAGATTGATTTACGTAAAATATTTTTTTAGAAGAAATTTTCGAACTCGGGGTTAGAAAAAAGTAAGATCCCCTATTAAAAGATTCAAGGCGCCATAAGCTCGATGAGCAGGCTTTGTGTGAAATATAACAAAGTTTAGGACTGCTTTTAGTGTCCTAGTGGTCTAAAGGTAACGTTCCTCGATCACACACATGAGGCATTAGATGACATGTACGTAGTGCCTTGTCATAGCTAGGTTATGTATATAATGTTGGCTTGCTTGCTCCTTTACTGTCTTGCTTGTTTATTTGTTTTCTAGCACACTTTCTTGATTGCTTGTTTGCTTTCTTACTTGCACTCCAGATAATATCCCAGGCAATTTTTTTGAGGCAGGAAGCTAAAATTTTGTTCTTATGCCGTGGGGGCGGGTCGGTGTAGGCTGTTAGTGCCATTACCTGTCCGTACATAATTGGTTTTCTTATGACAATGATTTGTATCACTTCAGATGTAATGAACAATTTGTATAGTAAACTTTCATAACAACAGTGGTTAAGGATGTTTCGTTCATTTACCTTATCTGCCTTCATGGTTACAATACACCAAAAAATTTAAGATAATTCTTTATTTAAAAAAATTGCATATAACGATATAGAAAAATAATTTATAATAAAAAATCTTGTGTAGCTGCTTCTCTGTATAAAATCTATATGGAAATATAAAATGCCTAATATCACAGTTGAAATTATTTATAGCTATATGAAACTATATATATATATGTCTTAATCTAAATATATGTTAATAAATTGTAACATACAGGGTGTCCAGATCGGAATCATGCAAATTAGACATGATTTATTACCGTATATGTTCTATATAGTAGGTCATATTATAAGCATATTCTATTTATATGTATTATGTGTAATACAGGTATCATAAATTATTATGTGAAATATATACAGTATGTAACGGTATGTGTCATAGATATGATTCTGGACACCCACCAATACAATAAACTCTTTCCATCACCCTGTATAATATATCTTCTATTAATCAGGTACAGTACACATTGTAGTCAGGTCTTTTTTTTTGTCTCAATAAATATATTATAATCTAAATCTCGCTTAATATCATACACTGATGGTTTATAGTTCTTTAATCAGTTAATCTGAGCAAAAATAAAATCACCGTTTATTTTTTTCTTTGTCAGATTTATCATTTGTTTACTTTTTCGTTTGAGTTTATTATGGGGTTTTGGGACACGTTAAGTCGGATTTGCTTTTTGTAGGTGCTGAAGTCAGACTGGCTTTTTGGAGGCGCTGCTGTCAGACTTGGTTCAGTACTGACTTTCTGAGGTAATCAAGGCAGAGCCTGAGAATTGGGCACTCGTCGACACGGAACTTCTCTAACACACACACACACACACACGCACAGTCTTGTTTCTTCTGCAGCAGAAGGAACTTTCCCTCAGCTCGCCCTCAAAAGGGATTCCTTGTCAGCCGGATCGTCAAAGGACACGCATGAAGTTTGAGATTAACAAGAACCTTAAGGGACAAAGAGTATGAGAAGCAGGAGCAGGATTTCCCTTCAGTCTTCAGCAGGATCAGAAAGACCTCGCCCAGCTTTATTACGTCGAAGGATTCCCGTCAATAGGATATCCAGCGATTATTTTCAACAGCATTCACGAGTGTTGGAGCTGAGCTGTTTAGCGCGCCTCATGGGCCAGTTCCCTGAGGAATTTGAGAGCTTTTGGGCCGCACTTGTAGACGAGCTGTTTCTCAGAGGCAAGGGTTGAAGGGCCCCTGTTGTGTAGTGATACCTGAAGGGGGAAGAGAGACACTCATTGTAACTACACTGTGAATTGGGATTTTAATGTGACAACGTCGAGCTTGTGTTTTATTGTCAGTGTGTGTGTAACTGCTGTCAGTGTGTGTGTTTGTGTAAGCATATATCAGAGTGTGTGTGTGTGTGTGCATGTGTAAGTGCTGTATCAAAGTGTGTGTGTGTGTAAGTGCTGTATCAAAAGTGTGTGTGTGTGTGTGTGTGTGTGTGTGTGTGTGTGTGTAGTTTTGAGATGTCTTTTACCTGGTCAGGTCATATAAAGAGAGCAGCTTATCTCAACATTTGTTTACCAAAATGAAAGAAAAACAACATAAATATCACTATGATAACACGAGGGACCATCACTCACCTAAGACCACGGGCGAAATTATCGTAAGAGAGGTTGGGCGTTGACCTCGGCCCCACATGTTGGCTACGGCACCAGGTATGACAAACCGGAAGGTGTTGTTTTCTCGGTCCTCCCACCTGATGTAGGAGGGATTGTAGTCTTTGTCTGCTAGAAGTCTGATCACAAACTCCCAGTTCTTTGGTCCTCGTTCTATAATTGGTCAAAAAAAAATACAAAACATTAAACGTTAAGTTAGCTTGTTATTTTTCCTACTACGTACAGTATATGATTTCCGTAATTTGTAACATGTATTAATTTGAGTTATTTGGAATGGGAACCCCCACCCCACCCCTCCATTGAGAAGAAGAAACAGCAAGGAAAGTAAAGAAAAGGAAAAGGGTGAAGAAGTGAAGGAAGACATCAAATGTTTATTCCCCAGAGTGGTATGGAGACGAGGATGTAACTTACCCCTCTTCCTGGACTTGGTGCGGATCTTCTTGAGGGCGTTGCAGGAGGGGCTGAAGGAAGGAACGACAGCATCTGGTGAAGACGCCGCCTCGGAGGAACTGTCGTCGAATATCATGGGTTCCTCTGAAGGGGGAGGAGAGATAGTGTAAGTCGGTGTTGAGGGTGGGAGAGTGTATAACGACATTATATTATTGTTGTTAACACACACACACACACACACACACACAAAACAACAGCAAACAGTAACTCACCAATTTTCAATTCAGGGACAGTAATAGGGCAGGAGATGGGAGCGGAGACGGGAGTCGAGTAGTGCGTATAGTTCTCATTGTATGTAGGCGCGATACTCTCACGACCTTCCACATGGTACTGCTGTTGAGTCTCCAGTTGTAGAAGATCCCAATTCTGCTCCTGGTGCAAAAAGTCATCCATCACGGTGAAGTCTTCTTCAGTGACCTTGAGACGGGATAGTTCCGGGGTGACATTTTTTTCAGAGAAATCCCCGTCAAAGTTGGAGTAGGAGTCACTACTCGGCGATGTTGCGTCTTCATATTCATAACTTGGGGTCCCGCTGGCTGAAGAACGAGAGAGTTAGGAAAGTCCTGTTATTATCGTCTATATATATCCTTACTCACAGCTGTTGAGGGCAGGGCGACAGAGATACTGTACGTTCACAGTTCTAATCACTGTGTTTATTGATGATGGTAAAAGCGATATACAGCACTGTAGTTATATATAGCAAGCTTCAATGTCCATGTGTGACTGAACGTGGAGGAAAGCAATGGTGAGGCCGGAGGAGCCAGATGAGGAGCAAATGAAAGACGAGGAAAAGAAGAGGAGGGGGGAGGAGCATATGAGGAGATGGAAGATGAAAAAAATAGTTAGAGGAGTAGGAAGAGTAAGAAGAAGGACACGAACATAGACCACACCATCACCTTTAATGAGCGAACACAACACTCACCTATCCCCGGCTGAACAAACAGCTGGCGCATTTCTTCAAAGAACACCCCGCCGTAGAGGGAGCCAAAGTACTTGCAGAAATCAAACTGACTGTACATAGAGAGTTCTCTCCCGGTCACGGCTAAGAAGACTGACAGGTCCACTTGTTGAAGGTCGATCCCATTACGGTAGCATACACTTTCGGCCCATTTAAAACACACCTGTTGGGGGAAATAAAAGAGATGTTAATATGGGTTAACGTTAGAAATTATACGTAAGGGGGAATCAGGAGAGAGAGAGAGAGAGTATTTCATGCAGGAAGGAAGCATCCTGTCCACTACTGTACGCAGATAACAACAAACACGGATTGTATGAATATATAATATTACTAACATATCCTGAATAAATGTGTAGAAAATGTTAAGTGGATGTTATCAGTTCCTAAGCATGCATATAAAAACATACTGAGTAGTAAATACATACATACTGCCTCAAACACACATACATTACACACACCTTTGTACGAACACACACTTTGGAAGACAGCTGGTGGACACCCAAATATCCAACACAGACATGCAGCGGAAGTAACGAGAGATACACAGACACTCACTAACAGACAGATGGCTACACTAACAGACAGATGGATACACTAACAGACAGATGGATACACTAACAGACAGACGGATACACTAACAGACAGATGGCTACACTAACGAACGGAGTAAGCTACACTAACAGACAGATGGATACACTAACAGACAGATGGCTACACTAACAGACAGATGGCTACACTAACAGACAGATGGCTACACTAACAGACAGATGGATACACTAACGAACAGATGGATACACACTAGCAGACAGATGGCTGCACTAACAGACGAATGGATACTGACAGACAGACGGATACACTAACGAACAGATGGCTACACTAACAGACAGATGGCTACACTAACAGACAGATGGATACACTGTAGACGAATGGGCTACACTAACAGACAGATGGCTACACTAACAGACAGATGGATACACTAACAGACAGATGGATACACTAACAGACAGATGGCTACACTAACAGACAGATGGATACACTAACAGACAGATGGCTACACTAACAGACAGATGGATACACTAACAGACAGATGGCTACACTAACAGACAGATGGCTACACTAACGGAACAGATGGCTACACTAACAGACGAACGGATACACTAACAGACAGATGGATACACTAACGAATTAAGATGGATACACTAACAGACAGATGGCTACACTAACAGACAGATGGCTACACACTAACAGACAGATGGCTACACTAACAGATGAACGGATACACTAACAGACAGATGGATACACTAACAGACAGATGGATACACTAACAGACAGATGGATACACTAACAGACAGATGGATACACTAACAGATGGCTACACTAACAGACAGATGGCTACACTAACAGACAGATGGATACACTAACCTGCAGACAGACGGATACACTAACAGGGCAGATGGATACACTAACAGACAGATGGCTACACTAACAGACGAATGGATACACTAACAGACAGATGGATACACTAACAGACAGATGGCTACACTAACAGACAGACGGATACACTAACAGACAGATGGATACACTAACAGACAGACGGATACACTAACAGACAGATGGATACACTAACAGACAGATGGCTACACTAACAGACATGAATGGCTACACTAACAGACAGATGGCTACACTAACAGACTTTCAGATGGCTACACTAACAGACAGATGGATACACTAACAGACAGATGGCTACACTAACAGACAGACGGGCTACACTGGCACAGACGGGCAGCTACACTAACAGACAGATGGCTACACCTAACAGACAGATGGATACACTAACAGACAGATGGCTGCACTAACAGACAGATGGCTACACTAACAGACAGATGGCTACACTAACAGACAGATGGATACACTAACAGACAGATGGCTACACTAACAGACAGATGGCTACACTAACGAACAGATGGATACACTAACAGACAGATGGCTACACTAACAGACAGATGGCTACACTTACAACAGACAGATGGCTACACTAACAGACGAATTGGCTACACTAACAGAACAGATGGATACACTAACGAACAGATGGATGCACTAACAGACGATGGCTACACTAACAGACAGATGGATACACTAACGAACAGATGGATACACTTACTAACAGGCGGGTGTGGCTGCACTAACGAAGATGAATGGATACACTAACAGACAGATGGATACACTAACGAACAGATGGATACACTAACAGACAGATGGATACACTAACAGACAGATGGCTACACTAACAGACAGATGGCTACACTAACGAGCAGATGGCTACACACTAACAGACAGATGGCTACACTAACAGACGAATGGATACACTAACAGACAGATGGATACACTAACAGACAGATGGCTACACTAACAGGCAGATGGATACACTAACAGACAGATGGCTACACTAGCAGACAGATGGATACACTAACAGACAGATAAGCTACACTAACAGACAGATGGCTACGCAACAGACAGATGGATACACTAACAGACAGATGGCTACACTAACAGACAGATGGCTACACTAACAGGAGCAGATGGATACACTAACGAACAGATGGATACACTAACAGACAGATGGATACACTAACAGACGAATGGATACACTAACAGACAGATGGATACACTAACAGACAGATGGCTACCAGATGGCTACACATGGCTACATAACAGACAGATGGATACACTAACGCAGATGGCTACACTAACACAGATGGATACACTAACGACAGATGGCTACACTAACAGACAGATGGATACACTAACAGACAGATGGATACACTAACAGACAGATGGATACACTAACAGACAGATGGCTACACTAACAGACAGATGGATACACTAACAGACAGATGGATACACTAACAGACAGATGGATACACTAACAGACAGATGGATACACTAACAGACAGATGGATACACTAACAGACAGATGGATACACTAACAGACAGATGGATACACTAACAGACGGGATACACTAACAGACAGACGGTACACTAACGAAGATGGACTAACAGACAGATGGATACACTAACAGACAGATGGATACACTAACAGACAGATGGATACACTAACAGACAGATGGATACACTAACAGACAGACGGATACACTAACAGACAGACGGATACACTAACAGACAGATGGATACACTAACAGACAGATGGATACACTAACGGACAGATGGATACACTAACAGACAGATGGCTACACTAACAGACAGATGGCTACACTAACAGACAGATGGATACACTAACAGATGGCTACACTAACAGACTGGATACACTAACAGACAGATGGCTACACTAACAGACAGATGGATACACTAACAGACAGATGGCTACACTAACAGACAGATGGATACACTAACAGACAGATGGATACACTAACAGACAGATGGATACACTAACGAACAGATGGATACACTAGACAGATGGCTACACTATGAACAGACGGATACACTAACAGACAGATGGATACACTAACAGACAGATGAGACCACTAACGAACGAAGATGGATGCACTTAACAGGCAGTGGATACACTAACAGACAGATGGCTGCACTATGGTAGATGGATACGCTAACAGACAGATGGCTGCACTAACAGACAGATGGATACACTAACAGACAGATGGATACACTAACAGACGAATGGATACACTAACGAACCCAGATGGATACACTAACAGGCAGATGGATGCACTAACAGACAGATGGATACACCTAACAGACAGATGGATACACTAACAGACAGATGGCTACACTAACGGGCAGATGGATACACTAACGAACGAATGGATACTAACAGACGAATGGATACCACTAACAGACGAATGGATACACTAACAGACAGATGGATACGCTAACAGACAGATGGATACACTAACAGACAGATGGATGCACTAACGGGCAGATGGCTACACTAACGAGAACAGACGGATACTAACAAGACAGATGGCTACACTAACGAATGGATACACTAACAGACAGATGGCTACACACTAACAGACAGATGGCTACTAACTGAACCAGATGGATACACTAACAGACGAATGGATACACTAACAGACAGATGGCTACACTATGACAGATGGCTACACTAACGAAGACGAATTAGGCTACGCTGGCACAGACAGATGGATGCATAACGAAGACAGATACTACACTAACGAACAGATGGATACACTAACAGACAGATGGATACACTAACAGACATAGATGGCTACACTAACAGACGGGTGGACACACTAACAGACAGAGAGACAGACACACATACCTCAGGTGACCAGTTGAGGACGTCGTTGTTTTCGTAAGCCTCAATGTTCATCAAAATATCCTGACCTTCTTGTGAGGCGGGGGAGAGCGGTGTGAGGGATGAGGATGAGGAGGATAAGGAGGGGGATAAGGGCAACCCGTAACCGTCCATCTCAGGGAAGAGGAAGGAATCGCTGTCGTAGAGTTCGTTAGTGTTGTCCCCGAAGACGAAGGTTCCATCGACTTGTATGTTGCTGTACAGGTCCATCATGTTGCTGGTGGTAGTTGAGGAGGTTGTTGCTGGTGGTAGTTGAGGAGGTTGTTGCTGGTGGTAGTGGAGGAGGTTGTTGCTGGTGGTAGTTGAGGAGGTTGTTGCTGGTGGTAGTGGAG